CGCCCACCTGAATCTTTTGCCCTCAGATGTGCCCAGGGCCAACTTGGTGACTGTTTTTGAGTTTAGTTTATGCCCAGGAATTCCCTGTCGGTTTTGCTTTCGTTTTCTGCGTCTTTTTGTTTTGTGTTTCCTTCGTTGTCTTTTGTCTCGTGCCCTCTTTGTGTTTCGTACCCCCCACCTCCCACCCGTGCTTGTCCGTTAATTGTCAGGTGACGATTTGTTGAGGGGGAGGGGTACTGTGAGGATGTATGTTTTGTTGTCTGTGTTCTCCCTCTTGTGTCTACCCTGCGACATTACTCTTCATTTTCTCAGTCTGTTTCCTGCTGGTCACCTGTTCAATTATCATGCACCTGTCAGTAGTTATCTAATCAGTTCCTCTCAGCTGTTGTCAATCTTCTCTCTTCCTCTGTGTATATATACTTCTCTCTTGTCCTCACTTATCGCTGATTCATTGTTTGGTAGCTTCCTACTGTTTTGGTCTCCTCGTGGTTCCCCGTCTTAGTGTTTGTTTTTCCTTTTGTTTATTTAGCTGCCCTGCCAGCTTTTTGTTTTATTTTTGTTAAAATAAATATTTTTTCTTTTTGAAAACTCTCTCCTCCGTCCGGACCTGGGTTCATTCCTTGCATTAACCTTAACAGGATATGAAGTCCTTATTCTGAGAAATATGTTGTTGAAAATGGTACTCCACAAGGAAGTATAGTAAGTCCTTCATTGTTTTCATCAATGATAAATGATGTATTTCAACATGTAGAGACTGGGATGATTTTTTTTTCTTTTTGCTGATGACGGAGCAATGTGGAAGAGAGGAAGGAACTTATAGTTTATTACTAGAAAGATGCAAGAAGCTATTTTTAAAGATGAATAAATGTCATATAAGGGGGGATTTAAATTTTCAGTAGATAAGACTAGACAATGTTTTTTACAAGGAAAAAATTTGGTGATGATATTAAACTAAAGTTATATAACTAAGAAATAGAAAAAGTGAAGCAGTTTAAATTTCTTGGAGTTTTGTTAGATGAAAGGATCATATGGAACGTACACATTCAGAAAGTTTTAGACAAATGCAGATACAACTTCTCACAGGTTAGATCGTATTCAGTATCAACCTTTGAGGTTGTGTACAGGTGCAATTAGATCTACCCCAACTGCATCATTATTGGAAGAAATTAGAGAAATGCAGCTGAAAATTAGAAGAGAACAATTAACACTAAATTACTGGGCTAAATTAAGAAGCCATAGTTTTGGGATTTGTGTCTTGTCTGTCGTCTCCCTCTTGTGTCCTTGTGTCATTACTTTTCATTTTCTCCTCAGTCTGTTTTCCTGCAGTTTCCCTGTCCATTATCATTCTCACCTGTCTCCTCTTAGTAATTAGTTCTCTTCAGCTGCTGTTCATCATCCTCTCTCCCTCTGTTAGTACAGTATATATTCAGTCTCAGTTGTTCATACCTTCACTGGATCATTACAAGGCTTTGCCCTACTGTCTCGTTACCCCTGAGTTCCTCTGTGTTTCTGTTTGTTTTGGCTGCCCTGTCAGCATTTTGTTTTACTTAATAAATATTTTAATTTAAACTCTGTCCTCCGTCTGGATCTGGGTTGTTTCTCACACCAAACCTGACATAATGATCCAGCCAGCATCTGAACCTACCAGGAGGATGAGTTATTTTGAAATTGTGGAGAAGGAAAACCTCTCCTCTGTGTGAGTGGGGCAAGGGTTAAGTGCGGAGGCGAGGACGGACAGGTCACGGCTCAGGAGTGGAGGTTCTCCCATTCCCTCTTCTAGTGGAGGAAGAGGAAGAGTGGAAAACTCAGTTCTTGGGAACACGCCTGGCATTCAAGTCTGCCCCCATCTCTCCACCACCTCATGTTTTGCGAGGGTCTCGGACGCCTTGCTCTCCACTTCCTCGTACAGAAATCTGCCCTGCCGAGCCATCGGGGTCCTGCTCCATCCTGTGTTCTGGGTTCTGCTCCATCGAGCCATCAGGATTCTGCTCCGCCAAGCATTCTGGTTCTCGCTCATAAGTCTGTGCTCCATGGAGGGTCGATGCGTCCACCTCCTCTTTCACCAGGAGGGTCGATTCCTCTACATCCTGCTTCACAGTCAGGCTCCACGCTTCTACCTCCTGCACTCTCAACGCCATTGAGGGGTCGACGCCTCCACCGCTTCCTGCGCTCTGGCAAGGGTCGACGCCTTCACCTTCTGTGTGGGGCATCTTGGAGGAGAAGTAGTGGTACCTACGCCTGTTGCAGCTGAGTCCTCCACGCTGGCGTCCGAGTCTCCTAAACCAAAGGCAGCACCTGAGTCTCCAGAGCTGGCTCCTCCAGATTCTCCAGAGCCGGATCCTCCAGAGTCTCCTGAGCTGGCTCCCCCAGAGCCCCCGGGTTGGATTGTAAAGTCCCTGGGCCAGCCTGAGTTTCCTGAGTCCCAGGGTGGGATTGTAAGGTCCCCGGGTCTGCCTAAGTTTTCTGAGTCCACGCCAGCCTCTGCTCCTGCTGAGACCTCTTCGCCTGCTGCAGTTGCCGAGCTCTCATCACCACCAGCTGCAGCCCCCAGTGAGCTATCCACCAGAGTCCCCTGAGCTCCGTCTCCCCAGTGATCAGACCCTGGGCCACCCACCTGGGATCCATCTTATCCACAGCCGGCCTCCAGGTCACCCTCCAAAGATCCAGCAGAGCTCCGCCTCTGATGCAGCCGGGTCCTTGGTCACCGTCCTGAGATCCTGCCTCAACTGTGTTGGGCCCCTGGGCGCCCACCTTAAACCTTTTGCCCTCAGATGTGCCTAGGGCCATCTTGGTGACTGTTTTTGAGTTTTATTTATTCCCAGAACTTCCCTGTCAGTTTTCGTTTTTTGATTTTCTTTGTGTCTTCTGTTTTTCGTGTGTTCCCTCCTTTTTTGTTTTTAGCCCGCTTTTTGTCCCGTCTTTGTTGTTCACACCACCCACCTCCCTCCAGTGCTTGCCTATTTAATAGTCTGGTGACGATTCGTTGAGGGGGAGGTACTGTTGGTATTTGTGTCTTGTCTCCCTCTTGTGTCCTCCTTGTGTCATTATTTWTCATTTTCTCCTCAGTCTGTTTTCCTGCAGTTTCCCTGTCCATTATCATTCTCACCTGTCTCCTCTTAGTAATTAGTTCTCTTCAGCTGCTGTTCATCATCCTCTCTCCATCCTCTCTCCCTCTGTTATTCTGTCTCAGTTGTTCATACCTTCACTGGATCATTACATGGCTTTGTCCTACTGTCTCGTTACCCCTGAGTTCCTCTGTGTTTCTGTTTATATTGTCTGCCCTGTCAGCATTTTGTTTTATTTAATAAATATTTTCATTTAAACTCCGTCCTCCGTCCAGATCTGGGTTGTTTCTTGCACCAAACCTGACACATAGGCAGGATCACCCAACCCAAGAAATAATAAAACCTTGCTGGTAAAAAGAAATAAAATATATTAACGTTTTTGTTAGATTGTGAATCAGAAAACAGTAGAAATCAACATACGTAGATCAGGTCAAAGTCAAACAGTTGGATACTTGGATACTTCCAGTTGTCATGGTAGATTTTACCTTGTTGAAAGGAGAAATGAGGAGAAAAACTTAATTTTAAATTCGCATTTTATTCACATATTTTAAATTCACATATTCACACAGAATTATGTCAGTAAATATTACTGTTTGTTATGTTCAAATTTACATAAAAGACTCTAAAAATATATCAAATAGAGTTGGAGTAGTTTTCATTAAATATGTTAGGAAAAGAATATGATAATAGACTTTCAGTTTACACTGCGGAAATGCTTGCAATATTATTTGCCATTCAAGAATGAAGACCATTTGTTCATATTTCAGTTCATCATTATGAAACCATTAAAGCAGGCAGCATTTCTCATTTCAGATTTGGGTGCACTGGGCTAAAACATTGTAGGATAGTGGTCAGTGTGAAACTGGTGGAGTTGATGAGACAATAGAGCATGTTACACTGTCAAAATTATAAGGAAGAATGACAACAGCTGTTAAACTATATTTAGTTGAATTATTTAGAAATAACTCGAAAAGTAAAATGTATCAGATAATATTCATTATCTTAAATTAACATAGTTGTATACAGAGTTGTAAAATAACTAAGTACAAATACTTTTTAATTTACTTAAGTAGAATTTTTGGGTATCTGTACTTTACTTGAGTAATTATTTTTCAGCCTATTCTTCTACTTCTTACATTTTCACACAATTAAATGTACTTTCTACTCCTTACATTAAAAAAGGCAAGAAGTAGAAAGTTGTTACTTTCATTTAATTTTTGCTTGTTTTCATTCCAGCTTGTTGTAAAAAATAAATACTATCCATGCTGGCCTAATCATTAAATATAAAAGGACTGTATTTTTAAAACTAGAGGAGGTATTTGTATTTCATGAATTATATTATTGCATTTGGCCACAGCCCTCAGACAGATTTTCTTTTTTTTTTTTATGGAAAAAAAAGACAGATTTTCATTTTGGGGAAAAGATTTGGGCAGCCTTGATATACTGTATGTATGTAAACTGAAACAGAATAGTGCATCCTAAATTTAACATAGATTAAACATTATTTAATACGACATAGTAATTTCTGCACTTTTTGGGGAGGTTACCTCCTAACAAATGTCCTTACAGAAAATCTAACTGCTCATTTTAAATCAATRCTTTTACTTTTAATACTTAAGTACAAAAAATATCAGATACTTAAAGATTTTTACTCAAGTAATATTCCTAAAAGAGACATTAACTTTTACCAAAGTCATTTTTTTGGTAAGATACTTGTACTTTTACTCAAGTATCACTTTGTGGTACTTTAAACAACACTGGTTGTATAAAAGAATTTAATCCTTGGGTGACATTCTGGTCCACACTCCATACCAGTCGGTGGCGGTAATGTACCAGTTTTGTTGTTTGCCAGCTGCCAAAAAAAAAAAAAAAAAAAAAAAAAAAAAAAGGCGTGCGCGCTCACGCGACTTTACGTTTCTCTTGTCTACTGATACGCGCATGAAGCAGGACAGAGGCGGCACGGAAGGCTTGAAGGAAACCGGTGTTGTTGACACTTCGACACGGGCTTCAATGGCGGTTGAAGTGAAACAGGAGCTTGCACAGCTGATGAATTCAAGTGGATCCCATAAAGATCTTGCTGCTAAGTATGGAGCGCTCTTTTAGAAAATGATAATTTCTAAAAACCTCAACGTGAACGCCCCTGTTCGCAGCGAAACAGCTATGTGCTACCGCTAAGCTAATGTTAGCTATTTAGCTACACATTTTTCTCCGTTAATGGAGGAATAAACACCACAGTCTTAACATTTTTCCCTAAGGTTATATACCCAAAATGCTTAAAATTGGAGGAGTGGATGTGCCCTGACATATTTCATTATACAGCTAAATTAAAAGCTAAATTCTGTTAGCCTAAAGAGCTTAGCGTTCAGGGATTTATATGGTGGGAAAAGACTCATTTAATGTTGCAATAATTTGTGCGACCAGCGTGTCCGTGTAATGAACAACCACACATTATTATTATTATTATTATTATTATTATTATTATTATTATTATACAGAACAGTGTAACATACACGACTTTTTTAGGTTTACATTGAAAACTATAGATAGTTTACATGAGGCTCAGCCTCATGTTTTATACCAAATATGTGTCTGTTGGTTTGTCTGCTGTGTTAGTAAAATATTTGGACAGAAAGCAACTTTCAGACAGAAATCATTGGATGTGCATCTACACCATATCATCTTTTGAAGTCTCATTCAAGATGTCTAAGCAACCACATAAAGGTCTATAACTCAGTATTAAACAGATATTGAGTTAATATTTGGTGGGGTAGTAGCTGAGGGTCATCCTTAACAACACATCAGCAATATCTTGCATGAAATTCATTCATAACATTTGACCAAAAAATAACTATAACTCAATCTTTTTTCATGTAAGATGATCTCAGTCTTAAACACTGGCTTAAAAAAGCAGCAGGCAATGTGCATTTCTTAAAAAAACAAACACTAGCCCGTTTAAATCAAGTTGCAGTCAAAGTATAACAAAGTGTGGAAAGACAAGGTTTTACAAATTTGGCAAATTAATTTTTCAGAATTGACATGTAAAACAGCACCGTTGTGTTAGATGTTCAGATGAAAGAACTTGCACCACCTGTTTATACAGTGAAGACATTAAATTCATAATTTGCTGACAAAACAGTGACAAATGACAAGCTACTGAATGTAAAACTAAACATTTCCTAGCATGTTATGCTTAAAAGAGGAGCTGATAAATGTAAAACAACAGTAACCTGAAGCAACTTCTCACCACAGCAGTGCCCAGTGTAAATTCACATTTATCAGAATACACATGGTACTGCCTAAAAAGGATCGTAATAATTATTAGATTACCGGTACAGATGAACAACATGCACAATGATTAAACTGTATCTACACTTGTGCTGCAGTTCTTAAATACTAGAAATGTGTGAGAATAACAAAGGGTTGCATTGTAGGGGAGACCGGGGACAGAAGCAACAAGGGACGGTTGCAACAGGTCATTTTTCTCCAAACAGAAACAAGCTAGAGTGATGACACTCACACTGTACATGCTCAGTTAGATGTCCCACCTTGTGAAGAAAATGTAAACAGGTTCAAAAACTGCTCCGGGATTTATTTGGAAAAAAAACCTGTTTTTGAGGAACCAAAGTATTTTTTCCCCAACTTTATTTTTGTTATACTGTTGTCACTGTTTTTGTGATCCAGCTCAAACTTATATGGTTTAAACAAGTGATGTGTTGACTTTTAACTAATCTAGTTAACATGTATCCAGATTAGGGCTGCCACGATTAGTCGTCGACTAATCGATTATTAAAATAATCGATGACTAATTTAATAATCGATTAATCGTTTTCTTTTTTTTTTGTTCTTTACTTTGTTTTTCTCTACAAACTGCTTTGACACCTTCCACTGCCACATCTGCCTTTCTGTCCTTGACACACATGCACAGTAGTGGTAACTGGGGTAGGCCGTGGACGTCACAAGACATTATACAGACAGGCTCTGGTATCATGGCTACCTGACAACAGAGCTCAAAGTGTGGGATCAGTTTAAGAAAATGAAAGAGAAACCTGTACAATCTGCAGAGCAGAACTTGCCTTCACAGCAGTTATTTTTTGTTAGCATATAGATAAAATCTAACAATCTAATAGCAGCTGCATTCTGGTGTGATAAACTTTATGTTTTATATTCAATTAACGTATGATATGATTAGTCGACTAATTGAAAAAATAATCGGTGATGAATCGATTATAAAAAATAATCGTTTGTGGCAGCTCTAATCCAGATCAGCTTATTTAGCTAACACATGAGGTTTTATTATGGCTGACAGGAAGGGGGACAGTTGTAACAGTTGTTGTAACTGTCCCCATATGATAAATTCATATAAAAGCAGAGCACATACAGATGAGATTAACATGTTGAAATTAAGTTTACACTTAAAAGGCTGTTGGGTATTCATGACAGTTTTATAGTTTAAACATAAAAGTGTTTAAGATGTATTTTCTACAGTTGTTGTTTTCAACAATGGTTTTAAAATCCCAGTTTGTTTAATGTAAATGTTACATAATGTAGGCGTACAGTGACAATAGACAAAACTAAAGTTAATTGTCTCACAAATTGTTCTGTTATCCTTGTSTCTAAAAGTCAACTGTATTTTATATCAATTAGAGTCTCTGACATCTGTATATAAGGTTTACTCTTCAAGGTTAATCTATATTCATCATTTGATCAAAAATAATAAAAAAATAACACTGTAATATCATAACTTACAGTTTTTATTAATTTAGCAATAATAAAAATACAAAAATAATAAAAGTTTTATTTACAGTGAAATCTATTGTATTAATAACATGTTGTAACCACCTCCAAACAATGTTACAACTGTCCCAGTTCTGACTTTTCATTTTCAAATGCAAATAGTGAAGAATGTACATGCTTTAATCATCTATAAATGGTTTTGACTATTAACAGACAGATGTAAGTTTATTGTATTAAAGTTTGCTTTGTCTAATTCAAACCATCTCTGAGGAACAGAGTCAAATGTAAAAAGTGTTGCGACTGTCTCCGGTCTCCCCTACACTATGAACTCCTTAAGACATTTTTAAATCAGACCTATAGTGAAATCACTGCAGTAACCTCGGACAGGACAATATGAGAATGTAGCATCAAGTGTTTTTGAGTAATAATTATTATTATTACTCATGTAACAGCAGGTACTTACACAAAAATGGTCATAAAAGAAAGTCCACATCATCTCATGCACTTTGATGAAAACCACTTATGAGTTGAGCTTTTGTTTTTGTTTAGCATTTTGTATTTTCTAATGAGTCATTTCTTTTGCAGATATCGACAGATTTTGGAGAAAGCCATTCAGTTTACTGATGCAGACCAGCTGGAGTCTTTGAAGGCCTTCGTAGAAGCAAGTATGCAGCTCTTAGTTGTTTTGTGATTTAAAATGTTTTACAAAGTTTGTGTTTGAATCTCAGTTCAGTTATTTGTCTCTTCTTTTACAGTGGTCAATGAGAATGTTAGTCTTGTCATCTCAAGACAACTTCTGACTGATTTCTGCACACATCTGCCCAGTCTTCCTGATGCTACAGCTAAAGCAGTCTATCACTTCACCTTAGAAAGAATTCAGCCTAGGGTCATCTCCTTCGAGGAGCAGGTAAAGGTCCTCACAAACTCTTAGCTCTGACTGACGTGTGTCAAGTAGTGTTTAATACATTTGTTCTATTTTAGTTTAGTCAGTGATATAACAAACATGTCTTAGGACATTATCTCTAGTCATTAAACGCTAGGAATAAAAAATATTTTCTGATATTGACTACTTTTAAAAATATCAGCAATTAGTCATACCTGGATTATGAAGTAGGAACATAAGGCTGCAACAGCAGGTACGACAGCCAGCCTACTTTAACTGAGAATGCTCTTTTAAATATTATCTTGAAGAGTACAAGTTCTTCTAAGGCTTCTTAAATATATGTTTAATTAAATTAGACATTTTGTTGCTGTTTGTAGGGTTTGTTTCTTTATGACATATTTAATGTGAAATTCATTTCTAAAACTTTAATTTTATAAAATGATAACTTCATTAAAGTGAGATTCTTTGATTTAAACATAAATATTTATTTTCTTGGTAAATACCTTTTTAAATACCTTGCAAAATAATTTCATGTTCTACAGAACCACAGCTATTTGTTTTATTAGTGTAGGGCTGCAACTAACGATTATTTTAATAATCTATTAAGTCTGTTGATTATTTTTTCGATTAATCGGCCAAATCATTAAAATACTTAATTACATGAATATGAGTAGATATAAATTAAGTTAACTCCTTAAGGATGCAAGTTATTGATAATGAATTGATCTGAAGTTGATTTATCTTATAGATTGATTAACAATTAATTAATAAGCAGCCATCACAATTGTGATGGACTTGCGACCTGTCCAGGGTGTACCCCGCCCCTCGCACTGTGACTGCTGGATATGGGCACCAGTGACCCACG